ACACCCTTTACTTTGTTTCTTCTACATACTACCTTGTTTGCAACGTGTTTGTAGCCTGCTCACAAGCACCATGTTCCTCTCCATTGTTCTTTGAGTTATTTTTGATTTCAGTTCTTTAGAAGATGTTTTGTTTCATGACTAATAGACGGAAAATATCACTAAGAAATTTGCTGTTAAAAATGTGTGCCTTTGTTTCAAAGAGGTGTTTTTGGTTATTCTAATAATTTTGCCATTTCCAAAAGTCAATCCAATACATCCCCCTCTTCCTCTTCAATGCTGGGTCCAATCCATTATTTGTTTGCAGTGTTTGTCCAAAATCTGTATCTATATCTGTACTAATAGATGAAGGGGAAGGGGGAAAAGGAAGGGAAGAGAATAAGCGTTTTTGTATAGTGCCTACTATGTTTCAGGCACTGTGCTAAGCACTTTACCAATATTATCTCATTTGATCCTTATAGTAACCCTGCAAGGTAGATGCTGTTATCACCCCTATTTTGTAGTTGAGGAAACAGAGACAAACAGAGGTTAAGTAACCTGCCTAGGGTCATACAACTAGCAAGTAAGTGTTTGAAGCCACATTTGAACTCAGGTCTTCCTGATTCCAGGACCAGAATGTGATCCATAAGTATATGTAGTCAACCTAACTGAATTTCAGAACCTGAACAATAAGCATTCTTTATCCCCTTGGTTTTACCTGTGTGTATATTTAGACAAAATTCTTTTATGTGATTAAGTATCTCATCCAGGAGGTAACGTTCCAGAGCTTGGTTCAACCACTACAACGTCATCTGCTTACAGGAGCATATGGCAAAACTCACCTCTTGAATTAAAGTTTTAAATGATGTCTATTAAGAAATCTTATACATGTGTGTGAGACACTTGGTTAGATGGAAATATTTATAGCAGCATTTCGTTCTACTGAATCAAATATTTTTTTGGTCAACAAATAATAATAATAAATTGTGTATTCTCTACAACTTTTAGTCCTTTGTGATCTCCTGTTGAATGACTTGTGAAAATCTGCCTGTCGTATCCTCATCCAGGATGCCCTTGAAGTATGTGGGGATTAAGCTCATAAAATTCTTTCTAGATAGGAAAATAGGGATTTGGATTGGCACAACAAATTCACATAATCATGAGAGCTGATATACATAGAATGCTTTAAAACTTAACATCTCATTTGGTTTCTACAACTCTCATGTAAGATAGATATCACAAATATTATTATCCCTACTTTACAGATGAGGAAAATTAGGTTCAGAGTGACTTACCCAGAGCCAAATAGCTAATAAGTACTAGATGTGGGACTCAAGCCTAGCTCTCTGCTTACTCCCAGGACTTGAGGTCCAGCATGCTTCTCACTATACCATAATGCCTTTCTAGAAAAATCAGGCTCACTTCTGAATAAAATCATAGGCCAACTTGGTTCCATTCAATTCAACAAGAATTTGTTATTAGGTTACTAGTAATACTTCAAGAAGTGGCAGAAAGGTCAAATGCAAATGGTGGAAGCTCATCTCAAGTAGGTGGTTTTGTTTTGTTTTGTCTTTGTGCAGGTGGTAGATACTTTGGTGCTACTTGTGTAATAAATAATATAGTAGATTAACCAAATTGTGAGATAGGCTGCTATCTGGACCTGCATTCCATTCACTTGGACCTTTTAGTTGTGGCTTGGGGATCAGGGTGGGGGGTGGAGGAAGATGGGATAAAAACGTGTCTAGCCCTTTTCTACAATATTTAGAAAGCAATTAAGAAAAGCAATTAAGCAAAACCAAATGATGCAGTGATTGCATCTCTCAAAATATGTTACTGTCAGGCACCTAACAGTAGTCCTCCACCTCCTTCTATGGGAGGGAGATCTATTTCATTATCCATCTTCTTTAACTTCATTTCAGCTAAACTCTTTAACCATATAATACAGTACTGTAAATAATAATCTCTGTATGTAGAAACATATCCTTAAAAGGCCCATATGCCTTTCTGTTTCAGTTCTTTAGAAGATGTATTGTTCCATAACAAACATAAAATATCACTAGGAAGCTTGGTATTTAAAATGTGCGCCTTTGTTTCAAAGAAATGTTTTGGGTCATTCAAATAATTTTGCAGTTTCCAAAAGTCAATCCAATACATTCCCCTCCTCCTCTTCAATTCTAGGTCCTATCCATCATCTGCAAACAGATAGGCCTTGTCAAAGAGCACAAAAATAAAATTTTCTGTGAACTTGGACACCTGTTTGTAAGAATCAGGTTTCCCTTACAGGGCCAAACTTTTTTGCAATGTTCCATAATACAATACAAATTTAAAAGCAGACAGAGGGGTATAGTAGAAACAGCACAGAATCTGGGGTCAGAGATCCCGGATTCACATCTGCCATTTACTACTTCTGTGACCTTGAACATGTTATATAATCTCTCTGTGGCCTGTTTCCTCATCTAAGAAATGTGGGAGTTATACTAGAGACCCCTAGATTCTGTTAGAGGAGAAATATCTCCTCTCTAAGTTCATGTGGTGAGTAACTGCTGCTAAATATATATGTACCACAGCACAGAAATTGTGGAGGTAAAAATCTAGGTTTTATTATGTACAAGTACAGGTAAGGCCTCAGAGAAAACATCAGGATTCTAAGCAGGTTTGTAATAACGCAAAATTATAGCAGATTAATAGAAAAAATTAATTTACATATTACAATCTTGTACATTTCCTCTTAAGCCACAGAAGTTAGAGATGATACATCCAACAATCCCATATTTCCTGCAATGTCATAAAAGTTGAACAAATTCACTTAAACAGAGTCAAAATCTCATACATCCCCTAAGGAAACAAACTTTATCAAACAAACTCCATAGGTAAACTAAGTCAGGTTACAGATCAAACTCTATTTAGAGGGTTCACAAATAGGCTGATTGAGGAGGAGGATTTACATGTAGCTAAGGAGTCAGGGACAGTTGAGATTCTTCCTCTGGCTTCTTATCTATAGAATGCCTAAGGCTCTTAAGTAATTTTTATATTCCATGGGACAGGTTTTTGGTCAGACAATGTTAATATTAACCAAAAGTTGCAGAAAGAATAAAAGAAAATAAAAAATTCCCATAACAATTCTCTAGTTGTTAATCTATGATCCTAAGCCTTTACTAACCTCTTGTCTCACCACCAGTGGCTTAAGTTTCTTTTTGTTTCTGCTTGCAATTTTAAAGATTAAATATGTAACTATAATATACTACTTTCTATCATTTGGGGGAGATTTTTATACAAAGGAAAACAAGCTAACCAACTGTCTAAATCCAATAAACATTTAATAAGCACCTACTGTGTGTCAGGCACTGTGCTAAACCCAGGGGATACAAGTAATAAAAAGAAAGACAGTCCCTGCCCTCAAGGAGCTTACAATCTAAAGGAGAAGATAACATACAAAAGGAGATAAGAAATGGAAGGAGGGTGGGAGGGCATGGACACCCAGAGTGGGTGCTGGGCACGGGCATTATTTTCTGTAGAGCTGTCAGCAGCAGATGCACAGTGTCTGCCCTCTAAAAACAGAGGTATTAGGGCGAGGTTTGGTTACTTTACCGTCTAGTCTTCCAATCAGAGGGGAGAAGAGGCTAAGGGAGATGGGGTCAATCAAAGCTTGAGTTAGCAGCATGGTGATGAGTTTAAAAGTGATGAGCTTATCCTGGAACTTCATGGAAGTGAAACCAGGCAACTTCATGATGTAACTCATTCAGGGCTCACTAAAACACAAATCCAGATTTAGCCTCTGATATTTAAACTTTCCAGGGCAACAAAACTTTAAGGCGTCATCTCAAAAAGATTAAAAGTGATTCTCTCCTTCACTCCCAACACATGACATTATCCAAGCAATTATGACGTAATTCTGAGACTCTGAGACAGGGTATGGGTTGATCATGGATTACTTTCTCAAACAGAGCAGTCAGAGGACCCCGGCTATTTGTGCTGTTGAACAGAGTAGTGCTATGGTTCGCCATGCTTGAACGAAACCTCTTTTTCCCCATGTTTACAGGAAGGGCAAGTGGGGATACTTATGATAGTGCTTTCTGTACTCACTCTGAAATCAGTTTACTTCTAGAGCTAAGCACATCAAAGGATTTCAGAGCCCAAAGCTGTGCCACTCCATTTTTAGTTCTTATCTAAGTCTGAATGAGTTTTGAGGGTTCTTATCCAATGTATCCACCCTATTTGTCTATAATTTCTCAAAATAGATGGAATAAAATATAATAGGTTGTTCATATCAGGCAATAAATATTATGTAACAAAACAAGAACTCACCTTAAACTAATACTTCCATTAAGACAAAATATGATAGGAGTTTCAATTTAGCTTTTTTTGTGCTTTCTAGAGTAGATTACAAATGAGCTGTTTGACGATTGTTGTATAGTGGACTTGGAATTAGAAGCCCTGGGATGGAATCCCATGCCTGACATTCTTTGACCTTAGGCAAGCCACACAGTGTCCTCATCTATAAAGTGGGAATAATAATAAGGGCATTTTTATAGTCCTCAGTGGTAGAAAAGCTTCACAAAGCACTTGACACATTATCTCCTTTGATCCTCACAATGACCCTGTGAGGTAGGTGCTCTTATTATCTCTGTTTTACAGATGAGGAAACTGAGGCAGACTGAGGTTAACTGACCTTGCCCACAGATAGCTAGTAAGTGTCTGAGCCAAGGTTTGAACTCAGGTCTTCCTGAAACCAAGTTGAGCACTCTTCCTGATGCAAACTCAGCTGCCCTAATGAGTATTTTTCTACTACTCACTTCACAGGATTGTTGGAAGGAAAGCCTTTGTACATCAGGAAGTGCTATAAGTTCATGAAGTTCTCACTGCATTCCTTTTTGAGCTCTGCTCCTGACTCTCCCAACTTCTTTTTCCACAGTACCTGTACAGGGTACCTTTCCTCCACTACTACCACTTCTCAATTTCTTTTTTGTATCATCTTCCCTCATTAGAATGTAAGCTCCCTGAGGGCAAGGACTTTCTTTTCGCTTCCCTTTATCTTCCCAGTGCTAAGCACAGTGTCTGGCACATAATAAGCACTTAATAAATGCTTATTGACTTGAGTTATTGCCTTGCCTTAAAACTGTCTTTACACAGCACTTATGAAGACAGCCATTGTTATTGGAGAAGTTGACAGTGCTGTAGGTAAAGGGAACAGTAGATTGGGCCATCCTTAGCTTCTAAGAACTTTGGCTGGGGACAGTGGAGGAGTTGGCTGCCAGCAGGTTGTACTACTCTGTTGCCATGGCAGCATGTTGATGGAGGGGGCAGGAAATGGCATTTTCTGGAACATTAAAGAGAAAGTTTTCCTATTCTTTGCCAAGAGATACCACACTTAGTTTGGAAGCCTTTATGTGAGCCTTTAATGTGTTTTGGATTATTGTCAGGACCAATATAAAGGTTGCTGTTACATTGTCTGGGTTTCCTAAGGAGAAATGTTCCTGATGTGGACCCCCTCTTTGTTTCCTAGAGCACTGACCAACAGGGAGGCAGTCAGGGCAATGTGTGTTCCGCATATGTCATCTCTTTCTCAGGCATCTGATGGCTTGTGACAGCATTTGGTATCACAAGGCAGAGTTTCAATTTTCTGGTAGATCCCAATTTACCTTGGGACCTATTCAGTCCACATGACTCACTGTACCAGAAAAGGGACTGATCCTCCTATTGTGATTGCTTCGCCAAAGCATGACTGGATATTGGATAGATCTTCCACTTGGAGGGTCTCCTCTTCCTTTCCAACAAAGTATGGGTCTTTCTCGGTCCTTCAGTAACTTCTGTCGGCTTCTTCTGTGTTTTCAATCAGCACAAGTTTTTCCATGTATGTGGTTCCCAAAGAAGTCACATGCTTTTCTGGAGGGAACTCATAGATGTGTAGTTCTCTCTCCAGATCAGTCAATGTCTGACTATCTCCCCTTTCCCTAGATTTCTCTGCCTCACTAAGGAAGTCCATTCAGGTACGTGAGCTAGTAACGGCCTTGTTTTAGTGCCAGTATTTCTCTCTTTTTTATGCTCTTCTGTTCAACCACATGCCCTAGCACTGGATCCTCATCACCACTCCCCTATTAAATTTGATTACTCAAAATTTATTGTTTATTGTGTGCAAGGCACTTTTTTGGGTGCTAGGGGAAAAAAGACAACAAACAAAATAGTCCCAGTTTTTGAGATTATATTGTACTAGGAAGATATGACACATACACACATAAACATAGAGTAGATACAACATATTAAAAAGAGAGCAAGAGAGGGGAGGAGAAGAGAAAGAAGGGGCAGGGGGAGAGAAAGACAGAGATACAGAGACAGAGAGAACCAATAGCTGGGGGAAATTAGGGAAAGGCTTAATGAAGAAGGTTGCACCTCAGCTTTGAAAGAAACTGGAAATTCTAAGAGGTAGAGGGGAAGGGGCAGTGCATTTCCAATTTGGGAAGATATAGGAGATGGAATGCCATGGTCAGGGGAATAGTTAGCTTCTTTGACTGGGAATGGTTAAATAACTTAGCAAGGGTGATGCAGTTGTTAGCGGTCAGGACTTAAAATACTGGTCTTCTGACTCCTAAGTAGACTAGTCCTTTCCAGGTACCATACTATCTCTCCTGTAAAGATGACTTTGAACCAATAAAATCTTCACATGTCAGCTTACTGTCATAGTAAGAGCTAGCTAACTTCCTGAGCATGTGGAGGAGGCTAGCCTGATATGAAGGTCATCAGTTCAGGCTTCCTTCAAGCCCTTCTCAAAGTTCAACACTTATGTCATTCTTGAAAAATACAATGACTGTTTCTTTGTCTTCACTTTCCTACACCTCTCCAAAGCAAAAGACACTGCTGAACACACCTTCTTTCTCAACATTCTCTCTTCTTGGCTTTGATTCTTTGATATCCTGGTGATCTTCCTAGGGTTTAAAAAAATTTTTTTTTATCAGGTTTCTCTTTTTCTTTCTCCTACAGATAACTGAATGCTCCCTAAGAATCAGTTCTTTTCTTGAGGCCTTCCACTCTGATCTCTCTCCTTTGGTGAACCTTTCCACACTTCAGCAAATCTGTGCCAATTACTATCCCAAACATATACGTCTAGCTTTAACCTTTCACCCATCCACCTGTTCTTTCTCTCCAAGTTCAGCTATTTAACAGATCTTAAAAGGAATATAATCTTCTCTCCTAAACTAACCTCCCTCCTAATTTCCCCTTATTCTGCTTTACCTAATCTGTTCTTGACTCCTGTTGATTCTTCCTTTGAAATATTTTTAATTTTTTTATGTCTTCCTCATTCTTCTTGCTGCTCTCTTAATCTAGCCTTTCTCTTCCTGAGATCTGGATGCTCTAATGGCCTGCTAAAGGGTCCTTCTGCTTTGAGTCTCTCTCCTTCTCCCATCCATACTCTATATAGAACACACAAGATGTAGAGTCCTGTACATTCAACCCAAAGAATGTTTGGATACCTTAGAGTTTTAAGGAATCTCAAGACACAGATTATGTCATGGTATTCCTATGTTTAAAAACTACAATGGGTGCATAAAGGATAAAATCTAAACTCTTCAGCTTCTCCTTCAAGGTCCTCTGCAATGTGATTGCAAGCTATATTACTAATATCGTCTCCAATTATTTAAAAATAATAGCAGCCAATATTTATGTTATCTCATTTGATCCTCACAACAACCCTGTGATGTAGATGCTGTTATTATCATCCCCATCTTACAGATGAGTAAACTGAGGTAGATAGAGGTTAAGTGGCTTTCCTAGGAACACTTAGCTAGTAGTGTCTGAGACAAGATTAAACTCGGGTCTCCCAATCTATTCTCTACCCATTGCCTTACCTACCTGCTTTGATATGCTCTCTATTCCAGCCTAGCTGGTAACCTCCTTCTCTCCAACACATACCATGCTCATTCCATCTTTCTTCAACATTATCAAAACACTTGTTAACCATTTACTGCATAAAGAACATTATCCCGGGTGCTAGGTATGATATGTACTTCACATACTTGCCTTCATGGAACTTATGATAAGGCACCAAAACCGGATAGTTTTAATGACTAGCAATTAATGATAGCAATCAGTCAACATACATTTATTTATTGCACAGGAAGTACAACAGAGAGTTATAAAACAAACTAGTATGTGAGATCTGAGGATAAAGGTCAATGCTGTCAGGGAGAATCATAGAAAACTTCATCTGAGTTAGGCTTTAAAGGGTGGACAGGAATTCCAATATGAAACAAGAGGGAGGCAGGACATTTCAGGCACAGGGAACTATGTAAATGAGGGCTTAGAGAAAGGGAAACAGGATGTGTTTGGCAGGCAGCAAGTAGACCAGTTTTGTTGGAGTATAAAATGAGTGAGAGGAATAATACAAGGTAAAGTTCAAAATCTAGGGTTGTGAAAAATGAATATTTCTCTCATATTTTATAACTAATTGTTGTATTAGGACCAAGGTTTTTTTCACTTCTCTACTTCTTCATCCAGAAACCAGCCAGTGTGGAAAATCTCTCTTAAAGATGTACCCAGGCCAAGATCTAAAAATGCAGTAAAAGAAATTCCAAGTTTGGGCTAATAGGTACATTCCTGCTCATTGTGTTTGCTCTGACAGGTCTAGGTGGTGTAGGGAATAGAATGCCAGGCCTGAAGTCAGGAAAATTCATCTTCACAAGTTTAATATGGCCTCAGAAATTTACTAGTGTGTGACCCTGGGCAAGCCACTTAACCTTGTTTGCCTCAGTTTCTTCATCTGTAAAATAAGTCGGAGAAGAAAATGACAAACCACTCCAGTATCTTTGCTAAGAAAACCTCAAAAGGGACCGTGACGAGTCAGACACGACTGAACAACAATGACAGGTCTGGGAAAATGTAGATCTGCTCTTTTGTTTTAAGAAATGATATGGAAATTGCTGTCTTTTTGACCAACATTTGGGTGACACAGGTCACATACCCTAAGACCCTTATTTTAATATCACTCGCCTCCTATTGGGTTATCCAATCAGAATTAATTGACACTCCTCAGAAACGCCTACTCTTTGAAGGGTAATTAAATTAAATTAAAATGATTAAATTACCCAGAAACTATGTCCCTCAGAATTTTTTTCATCACCTCAGCATAGTTTCATATTTTGGAGAGCTTCGAGTATCAGGCAAATGAAAATGTATTTTACTCAGTAGGAAATAGGGAGATACCTCTAAAACTACATTGTCCTGAACACATAAAGCCCCAGTGGACTAATAGGTGCTCCTCAATGAGATTTATGTTATCTTCTCCCCTGAACTCAACAATTTTCAATGGCTCCCCATTACCTACTGAATAAAGCCTACCAGCCTCTTCATCCTGACATTCAAGTTCTTCCATAAACTCTAGCCTGCCTTTGCACCCTAATCACCTACTTCTCCTCTACAATCTAGGGAAACTGGATTTTTCTCTATATACTTACTTCGTTGGATCTGTGATCACAGTAATATGGATGCTCCCTTTCAATAGGGCAATTCATGAATTCTGATACTATGTGATTTTTGTCCTTGACCTCCCACAAATCCTCGGCTTTTTAGATCTTTTGTCAGTAGGTGGGTACAATGGAGCATGCAGTTTTTCATTACTCTTCAGACGATTCCTAACTTTAATTCTTCAGATAACTGAGGGTACCGTGGTTTGCAGTCATACAGCATCATCAGAAGCAGTCTCCAGATTCTATCAATTCTATGGCTCGTGAGGGAGTAGAAAGAACCTGGGCACAGGTCCTATGTTAGAATCCCAGCTTTGCTGCTTATACTTATATAAGGGGAGGACGCTTGTTTCCATTCTCGGGGCTTCCATTTCTGCTTCTGTAGTGTGATAGACATGGTCTCAGCATGGCACTGTGGAAAGAAGGCTGGATTTAGAGTCAGAGAACCTGGGCTCAAATTCTGGTTCTGGTACTTAGTATGTATCACTGTGGCCAAGTTATTAACCTGTTTGGTTGGGCCTTGGTTCCTCCATCTGTAAAATTAAAGAGCTGAACCAGTTAACCTCCAAGGTGCCTTTCATAATTCTATGAAATACATTTTCTATAAATATAGCCATGCATAAAAATGTGGCTGATCATATCAGTAAGGCTTGTGGCAAATTAGATGTAGGATCATCGATATAGAGCTATAATAGATATTATAGGTCTAACTACATTTTACAGGTGAGGAAACTGATTCCTGTAGAGATTAAATGAGTTGCCCAAGTAACAAAACTGGGATTTAAGCCTGGGTAAAGGGCATTCCACCTTTAATGTTCTGGTATTCTTAATGATTTTTATGGGCACATGTACACTGGGAAGTAGTTTGGTGAAAGACAGAGAGAGCTACAGAGTGTGGAGGAAATGGCCATCCAACCTAAGTGGAAGGAAGTCAGTAACAGTAATACCCCCTAACTATCCCTGTGACCTTGGCTCACCATTTCCCTTCTCTTTCTCTTTAGCCCACTGCTGCTTAAGCCTGCTCTCCTCTTTCCCCACCTGTCGCGACCAGCCCAATGGGCTATGAGCTCACTTTGGAAGCTCTCCTGAAAGATTCAAGTCCAGCTTGATCTTTCCCCTCCGAGACGCGCAGTGATGAGGCAGGAGACAAGATGGCAGCAACTCTGTTTATTTTTAGCAAAGCAGTCACTTATATAGTAAAATAACAAGAACTCGGTCTCATGTTACAATGACGTATAACCCATGCTGTGCTCAAGGACAGTGCATGCACAGTCCGTGCACTTACCTACCACCAATCACAAATATACTGTTAATGACTAATGAATAATTAGGGAAGTTAAGGATGCATAAGACGGAACACCGAACCAGGCAACCTTGCTCTCAGACCAACACCCGAGAGGGGCCTCAGCCCTTCAGTGAGATCTCGTGAACCGTCTGTGGCCCTCTACATCCTTACAGATCCCTAACAACCACCCTATTCCAGATTCTCACCTCTCAATGGCAGGAATCTCATGATATGAATTTCTCTAAAGGAGAAAGGGCAGCAAAGTAAAAACAAAGTTCAAGCTGCCATTGCATTAGCTCAGCCCCCCTCTTCTGTGCTCCCAAGTGTTCTCATCTGGACTGGGTTACTCCACCTGAGCATTAAGCCAGCATCTTATGTTCGCCTTACTATTTCCACTGATAGAAGGCACCATTCATTCAGTTATTCATGTTTGAAATTTTTGTGTTGTCATCGCCTTTTCCTTCTCCCTCTGTCTCCCCTCCCACCTCTAATCAGTTGCCAAGTCAATTCACACGTCAGCTCTCACATCACTCTCTATTCACACTCTGAACAGATCTTTCACGAGCATACACCAAGACTGGATTCAATTCAACAAACATTTATTGACTACAAGAAGTCCTTCGCTGTGTTAGCTCCTGAGGATAAAGAGACCCATCGTCCCTGCCCTCAAAGAGCTTAACATCTACAGTGGGGAAAGGAAGGCCAGGGGATAACAGGTACATAGACAAGTAAGTGCAAAAGTAAGCCCAAAGTAATAATACAAAAGTAATGGGGGGCTGTTATAACGTGGATAGACCAGGAAAACCTACAGATAAAGAGGTCCTACTTGAGCTGATTCAAGAAGGAAGAGGTGAGGGACCAGAACATTACAGGCAGGGAAACAAGTTGCCCAAACAAAGATGTGGTAGTGGGAGATGGAATGTAGGCCAACAAGTAGGCTAGTGTGATTAGAATGCAGATTGTGTGGGAGGTGAAAGTGAAATAAGTCTGGAAAGATGAGGCAGAGCTTTAAATGCCAAGTAGAGGAGTGCATTTTATCCTACACTTGAGGCAGTAGGGAGCCACAGAAGTTTTTGAACAGGGGAATTATTATGGTGGTTAATCACTTACCTTCTCCAAGTCTATTCACTTGTACGCAAAATAAAAAGATTTGTACTACCTACTTCACAGAGTCATTTTAAAGAAAGTACATTGTAAGCTCTTTTATTTGTTGTCATTTCAGTCATGTCCAATCCTTTGTGGCCCCATTTGGGGTTTTCTTGGCAAGGACACTGGAATGGTTTGCCATTTCCTTCTCCAGCTCATTTTATGTATGAGGAACCGAGGCAAACAGGGTTGAGTGACTTGCCCAGGGTCACACAGCTACTAAGTGTCTGAGGCTGGATTTGAATTCACAAAGATGTCTCCCTCTCTCCAGGCCCAGCACTCTATCCTCTGTGCTACCTAGTTGCCCAAAGCTCTATATAAATGTGAACTATTATTATCTTGGAAGGAGAGGTTGAAAATGTTCCTTATACACAGGTATGATCACATTACTCCTTTGCTCAAGAGCTTTAGTAGCTTCCCTATTGCCTGCCAAATAAAATCTAAACTCCTTAACCTGGCATTCAAGGCTTTCCATAGTTTGTCACCCTTTTTCTGGTTTTATCTTCTTCTTTTATGCTTTAAGTACTCTATATTCCAGTCAAACTAGACTACTTATCATTTCCCATATATAGCTCTTCCACCTCCATACCTTTACTCATGACTTCCTCTCCATCTCTATTTATGGAAATGCCACTCATCCCATAGAACAGCAAGATTGGTTCAGGTCAGCTCAGAAGATACTGACAGTTCCACTGCAGGGAGGTGTTATGCTTGAGTCATACAAAGGAGATCAGTCTAGAAGAAAAACAACGTTTAGAGGAGTTTCCATGAATCAGGGAGGTAAACTAGGGCCAAGGAGTTAGAACACATAGGGGTCTGTGTTTCCCATGGTAGTTAGTAGCAAAAATTAAAATGATCTGAGGCTCTCACTTCCAGGAAACATGGAGAAAGAGAATATTTAGCAGTGACCTGCATACCGTGTGTAACACTTGCATTTCTGCCATGGTACTTATCTGTGCTCAAAGTACAGGCTGATCTTCTTCCTGAACAGAAGATAAAGGAGCACAAAGAACACCTCTCCCCTCTCTAAGTTTGGGGGGCTGGGTGAAGAGGGAGAGGAAATTTCTCCTGATGGAGTCTATTCCTAGATTCTCTGAAGATGAAACAGTTTCACTTTCTCCAAAGATTTATGACCTATAATCATAGGTGTTGTCAAGTTAGAGATTATCAAAAAAGAGGAAGAAAAGATGAGCAGTGATACTCGGGGATTCCTAACTGAGGGGTCGGGACACAGCTATTTGTTGATCTAATAACAAAAATAGAGAGGTCTGCTCTCTTCCTAGAGCACATATCCAAAACATAACAGAAAATTTCCCAAGACTTGCTAAGCAGGATAATTCCTGACCATTTCTAGTGATCCTCTTGGGCACAAATGATATTGCAAGAAGGAATCTAGAAAGCATTTCTAAAGACAGTGTGGTCTGGGGAAAGAAGTTGAAGACCTTAGAGGCACAGGCAGTATTTCCATTATTGCTGCTGAAAAAAAAGGCAAGGACTGCACAAAGAAAGACATATTGGGGAAATAAAAACTTGATTAAGATGGTATCTGAGGATAGGATTTGGATTTCTTTTTTTTTTCACATTAGTCATGTTGTAAAGAAGAATTAGAACCAATGGGAGGAATCACAAGGGAGAAACCAAACAACAACAACAACAAACAAACAAAAAGAGAGCAAATGGTATGCTCTGATCTGCATTCAGACTCCCTAGTGACTTTTCTGGATGTGGACAGTATTTTCCATCGTGAGTTTTTTGGTGTTGTCTTAGATCCTTGCATTGCTGAAAAGAGCCAAGTCTACGAAAGTCAGTCATCACACAATATGGCTGTTACCGTGTACAACGTTCTCCTGGTTCTGCTCACTTCACTCAGCATCAGTCCATACAAGTGTTTCTAGGCTTTTCTGAAGTCTACCTGCTCATCATTTCTTATAGCACAATAGTATTCCATTACATTCATATACCACAACTTGCTCAGCCATTCCCCAGTTGATGGGAATCCCCTCAATTTCCAATTCTTGGCCACCACAAAAAGAGCTGCTATAAATATTTTTGTGCATGTGAGTCCTTTTCCCATTTTTTATGTTCTCTTTGGGATATAGACCTAGGAGTGGTATTGCTGGGTCAAAGGGTATGCCAGTTTTATAGCTCTTCGGGCATAGTTTCAAATTGTTCTCCAGAATGGTTAGATCAGTTCACAACTCCACCAACAATGTATTAGCGTTCCAATTTTCCCACATCTTCTCAACATTTGTCATTTTCCTGTTCTGTCATGTTGGCCAATCTGATAGGTGTGATGAGGTACCTCAGAGTTGTTTTGATTTGCATTTCTCTAATCAATAGAGCATTTTAGAGCATTTTCTCATATGACTATAGCTTTAATTTCTTCATCTGAAAATGGCCTGTTCATATCCCCTGACCATTTATCAATTGGGGAATGACCTGCATTCTTATAAATTTGACTCAGTTCTCTATGTATTTTAGAAATGAGGCCTTTATCAGAGATGCTGGCTATAAAAATTGTTTCCCAGCTTTCTGCTTCCTTTCCAATCCTGGACACATTGGTTTTGTTTGTGCAAAAACTTCTCAATTTAATGTAATCAAAATCATCCATTTTGCATCTCACAATGATCTCCATCTCCTGTTTGGTCATAAATTCTTCCCTTCTCTATAGATCTGACAGGTAAACTATCCCTTGCTCTCCTAGTTTGCTTATAGTATCAGCCTTTATATCTAAATCTTGCATTAATTTTGACCCCATCTTGGTATAGGGTGTAAGATATTGGTCTATGCCCAGTTTCTGCTACACTATTCTCCAGCTTTCCCAGCAGTTTTTGTTAAATAGTGAGTTCTTATCCCAGAAGCTGGAGTCTTTGGATTTATCAAACAGTATATTACTATGGTCATTGACCTGATCCACCACTCTGTTTCTTAGCCAGTACCAAGTAGTTTTGATGATTGCTGCTTTATGATACAATTCAAGATCTGATACGACCAGGCCACCTTCCCTTGAATTTCTTTTCATTAATTCCCTTGATATTCTGGACCTTTTGTTCTTCCAGATGAATTTTATTATTTTTTCTAGCTCTATAAAATAATTTTTGGAAGTTTGATTGGTATGGCACTGAATAATTAATTTAGGTAGAATTGTCACTTTTATTATATTAGCTCGGCCTACCCATGAGCAACTGATATTTTTCCAATTATTTAAATCTGACTTTATTTGTGTGAAAAGTGTTTTGTAATTGTGTTCATATACTTGCTGGGTTTGTTTTGGTAGGTAGACTCCTAAATATTTTATAATATCTACAGTAACTTTAAATGGAATTTCTCTTTCTATTTCTTGCTGTTGGGCTTTGTTAGTAATACATAGAAATGGCAATGATTTATGTGGGTTTATTTTATGTCCTGCAACTTTGCTAAATTTGTTTATTATTTCAAGCAACTTTTTACTTGATTCTCTAAGTATATCATCATATCATCTGCCAAGAATGATAGCTTTATTTCTTCTTTGCCTATTCTAATTCCTTCAATTTCTTTTTCTTTTCTTATTGCTAAAGCTAACATTTCTAGTACAATATTGAATAACATTGGTGATAAAGGATATTTTTGTTGCACCCACAATCTTACTGGAAATGTTTCTCTCTTATTCCCATTATATATGCTTTCTGATGGTTTTAGATGGATGCTACCTATCATTTTAAGGAAGACTCCATTTATTCTATGCTCTCTAGTGTTTTTAATAGGAATGGCTGTTGTATTTTATCAAAAGCTTTTTCTGCATCTATTGAGATAATTATATGATTTGTGTTAGTTTTGTTATTCGTATGGTCAATTATGCTGATGGTTTTTCTAATATTGAACCAGCCTTGCATTCCTGGTATAAATCCCACCTGATCATAATGTATTATTTTTGAGATAAGTTGCTGTAATTTCTTTGCTAACATTTTATTTAAAAATTTTGAGTCTATTCGTTCTTGTCAGCAATGTCTTCTTGTCAGATCTAAGACAACTCCAAAAGACGCACGCTGGAAAATGCTATCCATATCCAGAGAAAGAACTATGGAGTCTGAATGCAGATGGAAGCATACTATTTGCTCTCCTTTTCCTTTGCTGCTTTTTTTTATTGTTTCATTCTCATGGTTCCTCCCATTAGTTTTAATTGTTCTTTACATCATGACTAATGGGAAGATATGCTTAATACGAATGTATAAGTAGAGCCTATATCAGATTGCACACCCTTGGGGTGGGGGAAGAGAAGAGGAGAAAATTTAAAACTCAAAAACTTACGGAAGTGAATGTTGAAAACTAAAAATAAACTAATTATTTTTTTAAAATTTGCATCTATATTCATTAAAGAAATTGGTCTATAATTTTCTTTCTTTTGACTCTTCCAAGTTAGGTATCAGTACTATATTTGTATCATAAAAATAATTTGGTAGGGCTCCTTCTTCGCTCATTTTCCCAAATAGTTTATGTAATATTGGAATTAGTTGTTCTTAAAATATTTGATAGAATTCACTAGTAAATTCTCCTGGCCCTGGAGATTTTTTCTTAGGCTTGTTCAATTTCTTTTTCTGAAACAGAGTTAAGTATTTTATTTCCTCTTCCGTTAATCTGGACAATTTACATTTTTGTAAATATTCATCCATTTCACTAAGATTGTCAGATTTACTGGCATATAGCTGGGCAAAATAGGATTTGGATTTCTGAGGGACATCTTTAAATACTGAAATGATGGGCTCTTGGCCAGATATGGAATGAAACTAACTGGAGCTGGTAAGAATGTATTCTCCTGGAGCCTTGTATATCTAATTCAAAAGGCATTTAGCTGAAAAGAAACAAACATAAAACTGCTTTCATATATGCAAGCCAAATAACCAAAGATACAGCCACAATACATTAAGAATGGTAGTAGAGACTCACATTTTTATAGAAGACATAATGCAACAAAGGACCCATAAAAAAAAACAAAAACAAAAACAACCTCTAGTCTCAGATATACATTTGCAAATGCATAAAGTATCATAACAAACAAGTTGAACTAGGTATCCTAAATCCAAAAAGAAAATGTGATTAACTTCATAGATATCACTGAGACCTGGTGGTATGAGATCCATGATTGATACTTGACTCCAGAATAGCTTACATCGTTTATTTCAAAAGAATACTGTGCTATAAGAAATGATGAGCATGTTGATTTTAGAAAAATACGGAAAGACTTGTACGAAATGATGAAGAGTGAAATAAGCAGGATCAAGGGAATGTTGTATACAATAACAGCAATATTGTTTGAGGAACAACTTTATTTATAAAACAAGTTATTTTGAGTATTATAAATACTCAAATCAACTAGAAAAGACTTATGAAGGAAGATGCTATCTGCCTCCAGAGAAAGAACTGATAAATATAAGTATGTATAATTGGGTTTTATATACATATATACATATATATATATATATATATATATATATGTACACACACACACACACACATACACACACAAATATTTGCATCTAATGGTAGCCATCTTTAGGGTGGAGAAGGAGGGAAAAATATAAAAAGTGCACAGCAGAGAATAAAAGAAAATTTAGAAGGAAGCACAGAAAGCAGAGTAGCTTTGAAAATGATGTGTAGTACTTATATAGTTTTTTTAAAAATAGTATGAAATGTTAATTTATGGTTTTATAGTGAATCCTTTTTTATTCTGCACTATGGATATGGACATGTTCTCTTTTTTTGTCTTTGTGTACTTAAGTTCAAAATGAATTTTAAAAAAGACATACTCATAAAAAAAGACCCCCAAAAGTAATAGGATCAGCATAAGGAGAAGTCTGGTAGTCGGAGAGGGGGTGGCAATGGCAGTAACACTGTTTATTAACAAAGTCTGCTTCTATGAGTAAATCCGGGAATGATAAGGGGGAAAACACAGTAAAAAGCATTTTCACGAAGGTCAATAGAAGTGCTAATAAAAGCAATGTCGTTACTGAAATATATTTTAAACCATCTTCAAGGAAAAAAGAAATAGGTAAGGACTTTGGGAAATAGATCATGTCTGGCATAGAGGCATGATACTACAGTGATCAAGTATCACCATTATCCAGATAGCTACTGAAACATATAACTACTCCTTGATCAGCTTAAGATAATTTCATCCTCGCGAAAAGAGAAGAACAAACAAAAGGGCATGTCTACTATTGATCTAATCCTTGCCCAAACGAGAAAGTAGCTGCTGGAGCTGAACTGAAGGAAACTTTGGGGAAAGTAATCACTCCCTCTTAAAACCTGTGACAGAAAAAGAAATGAAACAGGCCAAGTGTGATGCGCATTCTAGATTTTGTGATGGCAAATTTCAAAGGGTTCAGACAAAAGATAGGTAGGATCCCATGGCCAAAAATATTCGACAGGGGAGTCACGATGGATAAAGAACTCTCAATAATGAAATTCTGATGATAGAAGATGAAGAATTCCAATGAGTTAGAAAATGGGTAGTTGTCTGAAGAGACAACTGTCTGAAGAAACAAATGAGTGAGTTCAAAGAACTCATTAGCCAGCTAAAATTTTCAAGTGACAGTTTATAGAAGGAAGAAGGAAGGGGGAAAATGGAGGATGAAT